ACACACACACTAACACACACACACTAGAAGCAAACAGCCAAAGCTCCACAGAGATGGTTTAAAGACAACAAGGTGAAGTTCTGGAGGCCCGGTCAGGGTCCAGTTTAATATAAAACATGAAGCTCCATCAGTTCTCTCAGTTAAATGTAGACGTTGTAAATTCATATATTTTGTACTGTGTAGTGTTAACTTGTGTATTTCTCTGTAACACTGAGACCTAGTAGGTCAAAGTGAAGTGTGCAGTCTCAGCCAATGACAGCGCAGCATCAGATGGCAGGTGGAGGAAATCCCATCACACACCTGAAATATTTGCAGCAGCAGTCAGACGATGACACACAAGATGAGTTTTTATGCCTCCAAACTAGTTTCCTTGTTCTTGCTGAGTCACATCAGAGACTGACGTCGTGTTTGTGTTGAATGTTGTGTGCTTGTGTTTCTGATGGTCTGTGGCAACAACCTGGAGTTCACCACATGTGACTCCACCTGTGAAGCAACAACAGGACAAACAGCAAACATGCAGCTGGTTTATTTAAAGGCTTGGATTCAGGTCAACATGTCAAAGTTTTTCAGCTTTTTGTCGACATAGATCAGAAATAGTAAAAAATGTGGATCAGAGTTTCCTCAAATGTCTCGTTGAGTCCAAAGATGTTCAGTTTACTGTCACAGAGGAAAGAACCCAGAACACACTCACTGAAGGAGCTGGAACCACAGAACTCCTTCCTTTAAAAAAATACTCAAACTAAATGATGGATATTAAAATCGTTGGAGATTAATTTAATGGTGACGGATCCATCAGCTGTTGAACAGGTCTGAGGAATCACGTTGAGCCGACGGGAGGAACATCAGCTGCTTTCATCAACGTTTCATCGGCTGAACAGTCGGTTTGATTCCAGTTCAGCTGAATTTGCTCTAAACTCAACCTGTGAAGGAACCTTTCAGGGATTTAACACGTTTCCTCTGACAGCCGATGAACTTCCTGCCGTGATGCTGGATCAGAAGGAAGCTGTGAATGTGAGTCACTGACTGGTGCAGTTCTTTTCTTCATAAAAACCTCCTCCAGGTCAATCACACAGTTCTCCTCCTACTCTAGATGCTTATTCTTGTTCTTCTTGGATTTATTCTCGTCGTCTCTTCCCTCACTGAGCTTCTTCTTCTTCTTCCGTCCTCCTTCTGGCTCTACAGTCGGACTCTCAGCTGCTTCATGTTCGTCCAGCAGCTCCTTGTTCTGTTTTTTAGACTTTTTCTTCTTCTTCTTCTTCTTCTCGGCAGCAGGCAGCTCGTTGCAGTTCACCTCCGCACCACAGGAGGCGCTGCAGCTCTCACTCTCAGCATCTTCGTTTTCTGCTACTTTCCTCTTCTTCTTCTTCGAAGGCTCCTGTTTCTCTTCAATCTCCTCTTCTGCTGCTTCCTCCTCCTCCTCCTTCTTCTTCTTCTTCTTCCTCTTCTTCTTCTTTGTGGGCTCCTCTGCCTTGTTGCTGTGGTTCTGCTCGGGTTCCTCAGATGGAGCCGGCGCTCTTCTGGCCTTCAGCTGGGCCATCCTCTGGGCGAAGTACTCCTGCATGGTGAGGGAGCTGGTGACCGTCTTGGTGATGGACTCGGTGTCGAGCTCGGAGGCGGCCGGAGTCGCGGCCGGAGTCGCGGCGCCGTCACTGTCGGTCTGAGAGTCGCTGCTGCTGCCGTCCTGCAGAAACAAAGAGTCGGGTTTTAATGAAGCAGCGAGACAGACGGACACAGGGAGACCTCAGCGAGTGAGGAGCCGGATGTGGGACGACATACATCCAGCCCAGAACACAGAAAAACACATTTCCTTTTCAGAACAATCCCCACAAACTGTAAAAGCTTCAAACGCTCCTTGAACGCATCGTGTCTGATTCTGTGTTTAAAATCAGAATCAACAAACGTGAGCTTAGAACGGTGTCCTTCTGGACTCAATCTGGAGCAGCTGGTTTTCTAGTTCTGGTGAATCCAGCAGAGTTCTACTGGACACGTTCTGGGTGTTTCTGTTCCTGGAACACAGTCATTTCATTTGAACTCATTCTGGACACATCTCCAGTTGTTCTGAACAACTTTTTGTCATTTTGGACGAGTGTCTTTCCCGTTGGACCACATTCTGGTCCTCAACAACACAACTCTCCTTCTTCTCCTCGAACATTAACCTCCAGCTGAGGTTCCTCTGGACTTGTCCAGCAGGTTGAGCCCAGAAGGAGCCCACATGTTTCAGCTCTGACACTGGTGCACTTGTAGTTTTTTACAGGAACAGTTTGTGAACGTTGTGATCAGACCTGGTGGATAAGCGCTGATGAAGCTGTCGGCCGGATGTGGCAGGTCTCTGAGGACGAAGCTGAGCAGCTCTCAGTCACGTCTGGGCCAAGCTCCTCTCTGAGCTGAGCCTGAGCAGCCTGTAGGCCCACCGGCCTCCTCACAAGAACCATTTGTCACTTCACCTCTGCGACCCATTTGTCTTCATTTTCCTAATGGCCTACTCAATGCATAATGATTTGTTCAGAAGAATACAGCAGCTCCTCTGGAGAGTCGCACTAAACAATGCTGCCGCTCCGAGACGCATTTTTCACAGCACAGATTAGAGGCGAACCGAACGGCGTCGCACTCGGCCTTTAAGCTTTTACACTCAGATTAGCTGCCGCGACCTTCAGCGCCGACTGATGCTCGGATTAAACAGCTGAACAGAGCCGCCACGCCGGATCTACATATTCATTCGTTTCTCTGGCTGTCGGAGGATCTGTTAAAGCAGCTCAGAGGAACTCCTCCAGCTATTAGTCTCAGCGACCAAAAGCTCCTCACAGTCGATGCGTCGGGCAGCAGCATTGTGTTCCAGCTGATAATCGATCACAGGTCAGAAATGACGCTCTGCAGATTCACACCGAGGTCCCAGAGGTGAGACGTTATGAGGAGAATCTAACAGGAGCTGAAGCCGAGCTTCTGCTCCCGACAGCTTTGTCACAGCGTTTTAGTTTCGGCCCGTTTGTGTCACTTTGAATCATTTCTGAACACGTTTTAAATACGGGTCGTCCTCCAAAGTGTCACGTGTCTATCTGTGTATCTACATGATGGGGAAAGTCCACTGCACTGATCAATGTGGACCCTCCTGTGGACTTCAAGGACCTGGAACTCTGGAATATTCAGTCTGGAGGTAGACCTGCTTTATTAAAGTTACTGTGGATACAGAAGCAGCTGATTGATTTTCATGGACTGACCTGGAGGCAAAGTTTCCTCCTCAGACCACAGAAGTTCTAACAAGCAGGATGAGCCTTCAGGTGCCATTAAAGAAAACTTTCCAAGTTTCCAGAGAAAATCTATACTCCCTGTTACTGCACAATGGCATCGGTGTGCTGCAGAGGGCAGCTGACAGCGCCAAACAACATGTCGCTGGGATTTGGGAAGATGGCTGGAGGCCACTTTAGAGCTGCCTGTGAAATTACTCTCAGGAGAGGAGTGACGGAGAAACATCTTCTTCATCATCGGGAGCTGCTGGGAGGCCTCCTCTGCCTCGGGCCTCCATTAGACTGATCACACAGAGAAGTGCTGAAGCGAGTGGCGAGGAAAAGCTGCAGCTCCGTCAGCAGAGCAGCAGCCTTCAGCTACAAACTCCTCAGCAGGCTGAACACTGGCTGCCTCTCCACCGCCTCCATCCTCACACACGGCGTCAGTAAAAGCAGAAAACACTTCCTTATCAACCGCTGCTCCTCCACCAATTAACCTGCACCGATCTCACCAATCCATCTGAATGACTAGCGCTCCTCCATTTAGGTCCATTTTACAGAAACAAACCATGTGGTGGTTTATTAACGAGCAACACGAGCAGCTGAAGACACTCTTTGTCATGTGATTTGAATTCTCTGGAAATACGACTCGAATGGACTTTTTCCAACATTTCTGAGCCTCAGAACTTCATCAGTACAGCAGATAGACACATGACATGTAGGAGGAAGAACACACCTGGGTTCTGCTAGAACCTGACACCAGATCAGTTCTACATCCATCCAGGTGTCTCAGTCTGAACACTGGACCTGGTTCTGTTAGGCACCATTTGTTCTGTAATCATTTGGACAACTTTCATGTCATTCTGAATTCTCTTTCATTATTTCAGACAATTTTTAAGCCAGGCTGAATACATTTGGAATTTTTTGGGACAATTGGAGCGATTTTGAATATTTTATGAGAAGTTTAGAATCATTGTTTGCAGTGACTGAATCATTTTAAGTTGTTTTGGACAACTTCTCAGTAACTGGGGACAAACCGAAGACATTGTGAACTGGATTGTGTCAGTTTTACAGATTTTTTACCTGCTTTATTTTGAACATTTATCATGTCTGAACACATTTTGGACAGATTTCAATGACTTTGGACAACTTTAGGTAATTCTGGACCATTTCTGAGCACTGTTCATTTTCTCTATAACCAACAGTGAGCATCAGTATTATGGGATGGATCATAGTGGTACCAGGTTAATGTCTATGACACAGAGTCACAGAAACAATCAGTAGTTCTGGTTCTGATCATTCACCAGAGGAACCTTTACAAAGTGACTTCTGGGTAAACGTTCCAGGCTCATATCAGCAGATTTAAAGATATAAGAAGTGATAAATCTGGACCCTCCATGGAACAGATTTGATTTCACACAATTCTACAGTTTCATCAGCTTCTGTCCAAAGTGACGTCCACCTGACAGCAGATCCACCACCAGCAAGGACCTGGTGAGGAGAGAACAACCTGGACAAGCTGTGATTGGGCGTCGATGCCGACAGCAGGCTGCAGGGAGGTGACAGGACATTTTATTTTATTACTTGTATTTTTCCATACAGCATAAGCTGCTGTGTTTTTACTGTTCTACGTCTCCGAAAGGATTTAAGAAACATACTGAGTCCGTTTACATAAGTGGAGGAGGAGAAGGTTTAAAAAGGCAGAACAACCTATGAGCCCTCCTCCTCCTCCTCCTCCTCCTCCAGACGCTGAACCTCAGGAAAAGGATGCTCTCTGCTCGCTGTGTGCAGCCCGGAGATAAGGCGGCAAGCAGAGCAGGCCTGGCTGGCTATCGGGCCCTTCCTGCTCGCTCCGTCCCTTGGCGGGGGCCGGGCTGGGCAGGGAACACAGGGAGGGTCCGCTGAGAGGGTGGGAAGACGTTCAACAGGCCGCCTCCTTCAAGACTCTCCAGTTCTATCTGTCTGCTAATGCAGCAGCAGAGAGCCAGCGGGAGGCCGGGAGCCAAGCGGCCGGGCGGCGAGGCCAGCATTCAGCCCAGAGTCCGTCCAGCCAGCAGACGTGATGAGAGGTTCAGCAGAGTCCACCGCAAAGTTCCCTCCTCCACCAGCCGCACATGCACAAGTTTAGCATGTTGTGCAGAACGACAGCAGCCACCTGACAGCGACCCGTCTCCTCAGACACGCTGAGATGAACCAAATCAGGCCTTTCACATCGTCTGCAACACAAACCGACCACAGAGCAGGTCCAGAGACCACAGTAGGACATAAACCCACCGCAAACATCCATACAACTACAACAGGAAAACCATCAACTTAAGACACAAAATCACCACAAAAAGACAGAAAATGACCAAAACGTGACGCAAAAGGCCACAAAAACATGTAAAATGACCGAAATGCACACTGCAATAAAAGCCTTTCCAACCAGCAAATATTTTATCATCATAGTTCAGAATTTTCCACATTCCAGACAGAAAAAACCCTCTCTGCTGTTTATTCTACAAACAAAACCATTAAACACACCTGGTCCCCGGTACAAAGGCTGGTACAAAAAAACTGCAGGCATCATTTTAAGTTCTAGAAAATCTGGATCTGAGCCTTTTGGAAAAACTAAAATACAGCATTTATGAGTAAAACCAGCCTCAGAGGGTAAAACCGTCTGAACTGTGCGTTTCATTGCTGCTACACAACAAGCTGAACTGTCTTCGTTTGGTGTCAATAAAAAACAAGAGAAATCAGTGAAGCGGGTCTGCTTCCTGTCCGGACTGATCCAAACAGGACGAGACTCAAATATGAAGTTTCGGTTCGTCGAGGCCACTAAACTGGGTAACTAGTTACCTCTAACTAACCGCCTTCCCCCAGCCTCCTGACTCATGTTAATTAGGATTTGACGAAGCTGCAGCTGCTCATTTATTTTCTAAAAAACTGCCCGTTTGCATTACTGGTGTTTTCTTCGATAATTTGCAGCCGATATCGGCCGGCGCTGTAATTGTGGCTCATTGTCCTGCCGCCGTAATAAATCTGGAGAGTGCAGGTCTATGGATCAGGCCTGATTAGCCGCCTGTCGCTCCCTGATGAGCTCACAGCGCTGCAGCTCATCCTTCACCGGCCGACGTGGGCGGACAGAAAAACAGGTGGAGGTCCGACTCTGCTCCGTCAGCGCCGACCATCCGCTGGCTCCGGCGACGCCTGCAGAGATCCTCACGTTTACCGCCGACTCCTGTTAAAGTGCTCTAAATGCCACACAGCGACTGAGCGCAAAAACAGACCTTCTGTTGCAGTTTAGACAAAAAACGCCTTTTGAAAAATTGCACTTTGCTGCTGCTGCAAGAACGTTTATCATAAGTAACAAATGAAGACAACATTATGCATGCAGCATGGCCGCCCTGCGCTTGTTCAACAAACACTTCGCCCCCCGCCCCAGGGAGGAGGACGCCTCGTCGCCCCGCCGTGATTTATT